CCCCAAAACCCCAAAACCCCAAAACCCCAAAACCCCAAAACCCCAAAACCCCGTTTGTGTAAAGAATAATAGAATTAAATAATTAATTTTGTCGTAGAAGTAAAATGCAGGTCAAACAATTAACTATCGCTGAGATTGAGTCTAAGGTGATTTTTCTTAAGCTCGCTTCTGGTGTTATCGCTGGAATTATCTTATTCTTCAGTAAGTATTAAATTGGTACATTTTTAAATAAAATAAAACTTCTTTCGCAAATTCTTGGGAAGATAAGCCGGGTTACCCAAAAATATATATCAAATCCATACGTCACGAAGATGTAATTCTGATGGGAATCCTGAGTTTATGCTCCTTCAGAAGTAGGATACTATTATGGTCTTCGATATTATTGTGCTATACACTAAACAACAATTTATTAGGACAGTAATTATCGCTTTTTACCCTAGTTCAGCGAGAAGTTAAGAGAACCTTCTATCTAATATTTTATCTAGGCTTCTTCAACTTCCTGTATGGACTAGACTACTATATGCAAACAGTCGCCAGTGGATACTTGACGTAAGGTACTTGTTGACCTCTTTAGGCTATTTTGTGCAGTTATCATCTTATCAGAGTTCTCTCCGAGTATATTTGAGAACTACATCCTTAAATGCTTCCCGTTCCTACAGTACCACTCAGGCAGAGGAATCTTCTACATGATGTAAGCAGAATAGTCTGATCTATAGACTTGGAACATTCTGACTAGATTCCGTCATGGGATACCTTGTCTTCTTAGCAGGAATTGGGCTTGTCGCATGTGGCATTCTATACATTATCGCTTTCTTTTTGATTGATACCCAGACTAAGTCCCAAGTTCAGAGGGAAAATAATGCAGCTGATGGTATAAGCTCTATGACTCCTGGAAATAAAGACCAAGTCCCATCCGACCACGGATATTACAGTGGAAATAATGCTTAAAGTGGATATGGCAGAAAAATTATGGTTATTGAGTGAGATTCTTATCCTTGCATTCAATTTTGGGATAAAAGCAGGGGTTTTGGGGTTTTGGGGTTTTGGGGTTTTGGGGTTTTGGGG